AGAAGGAAGGGGGCATGAGGCTGTATGGAAAATGTGAGACCAGTGCCCGTGGAGATGCCAGCTTATCCACCACCCATGCCAGTTGTTTCTCTTCTAGCCATGGGACTCTCTCCCAGTTAGGAATGGTATGGATGGGTGTCAGATCCCCCCCATTCAGCACCAGTGGGAGGATCTCCTGCATCCAGCTTGTACCTGAAGAAATAACAGTGAAATAACAATCTGTATTGGAAACTATGCCCGGGCTCAGGAACCCTTCTGAGAAACAATGCCATTGAACACAGTTTGTCATTGCACCACAACTTCAAAACAACATCCTGCCCTGCAAGGGAAAAAAGATCCAGAAATGCTGTTGTCTTCTTTGAGGCTGACTTCATCTAACAAAGACTTAAGTGAAAGATTTTCCAGAGGTCTGACAAATCAAAATTTGAAAGGGTCGTCCAGATGATTCAACTTCTTTGACCAAGTATACGTAAAGCATGTGTACTTATACTGGATGTAAATGTACCCTCAGTACAAAAATAAAAAAAACAGCTCTTTGAAAAACATTTCTACCAGCTATTTTTGTGCTAAGCTAACTCAGCCTTACATTTGTTGCTGCTGCCTGCACTGTAGATGGGTGACTTTGCATCAACATGTAAACAGAAAAAAATAATGTAGCCCAACATTACATTAGGATTTAGTAGGTGGGGGAATGCTAAGATCTGTTGGAGTGGTGGGCATAGGGAAAAGAATCACATAAGAACAATTCCCAATGTGAGCTCCAGTAGGATTTTTCTTTGAGTACATGCTGTGATCAGCTAAGGTATGCTGCTGCTCTGAGATTCACTGTTGTTTATGGATTTAGCCAACAGAGATGCTAGATGTTACAGAGTATGAAGCTGCTATAAACGTCAAGCTCAGTGAGTGGACTACTAATAATATTCCAACCATCATTGTCTGTTAAACTGACCATGAAGCCCACAGTCTGCTCTCTACCAGTCCTACAAGGTGCATTATTACAAACAGTAAGCTAACTTGTTGAGCCTTCACTTAACTGCATAGCATTTTCATGCAACCTCTGAATGGGATACAGAGAGTATACTCCAGTTTGTTTTTTAAATAAATGAGGACATTATGTATAATCTCTGAATTTCAAGAAATTACCACTTTCCCCCCTGCTGTCCTGTCTTACAGCTGAGTATGAAGTGGTGGGAATGAGAATCAGCACCTCTAAGTTTGAGAAAGTTGGCAGAAATGGCCTTTCTCTGAAGGGAGGCTGGTCTCTCCATTAGAGATTGTGCCTCAGGGTAGAGCTGCTACTCTTCCATACTGAAAGGAGCCAGTTGAAGTAGAATCTTCTACTATAAAAGCATGCTGTAATAGCTGCAGTATGTGGTTTAGCATTATGTTGCTGAAATATGCAAGACCTTCCCTGAAAAAGATATTGCCTGGACGGCAGTGTATGTTCCTCTGAAACCTGTATATCCTTCTGAGACCAAGCCGGTTAATTTATGTGCTCTGTAATGGATATTTGCTTTTGGTCTATATCGTTTGACTTATTTGAGCTACCCTCCTAAGCTCTAATGTGCTTATTAGAGGAGTTCCTCTCCAATGGTGGGTGGTCCCTTTAGGCCAAAAAGGCAGGATATCACAGAAAAAGAGGCAGAAAATCACAGAAAAATTAAACTAAAAGTTACTTTTCTGCTCTGAAGGCACCTTTCCAGATGTGCAAGCACTCACTCCATAAGCACAGACCCCCACACCTTCAGATATGCAGGCATTAATTTGAGGAACATTTTTCTGAAACCATTCCACATCTTGTGAATGCTGTTTTCAGAAAGGAACCGCTGCCTAGCGTCATTTTTGAGAAACTCTGCCTCTCTGAGATGATCTTTTGATTCCAAGTCATGTTGCTGACGACCTGTCGCTAATTAATCAAATAAGTTTTGAAATGCTCCTCCATGTGATTATTTTTAGTGTCACTTCCCTTTTCAGTGTTCTTTTGCCCAAATCTCAGCTTTTTTGAGATGTTTTGCTGCCATCAAAATAAATTTCTTAAATATACAGGAATAAATTCCTCCATATATAAAATGTGGAAACTAAAGCTTATCAACAAAAACCATCAGAGACAACTAGAAAAGCTAAAAAGCGACAACAGATATGAGAACAAACACATACCTGACTTCGGATAAGTGATGGCAAACACATCAGTGTCTTCCACACAGAAATTTTGGGCGTACTCCAAGCTCTCCGTGGTGTGGGCCTCCAGGGGCAGGAGGAGACCGTGGTACTTAATGTACTCAGTGGCAGACATGACAGTTCTCTGGATGAGTGAGTCTTCTGTACTTTTCTCCTATCCTTCGTTAGAGACTTTCTCCTGTTACGTAGTCAGTGCCCTTTCCCTGAGCACCTCCTTATTTAATAATCTAGTTGGCATGATTGGACCATTCTCCCCCAAGTACGTATACCTTCCTGAAAGGGAACTTTGTATTCCAAACTGCTTTTATATTTCAGAGGTTGAAGCCAAGACCTAATGACCACGGGTTGGTCTCAAATAGTATACTGTCTTTTTATTCGATTACTCTTGGCTTTATGTAGTAAAACTGACTTAAAGAAAATAAAACATAAACAACCTCATGCTGCAGACATTACTGACTGGTCATAGGTTTTGAAATTTTGTTGGGTTGTAATCATCAAGTTATGTTCTCCCTTTCTGTGTCTTGACATAAAGTTGGAGTGATTCCGTGTTAGTATAATGCCTGGCTTGATATGACTCACTGGAATTCACAACCGCAGCAAAGTAGCACGACAGTGTAAACACTACAGCGTTGTTCAGCAAGCTCGTAAAAGCAAGTAGTGTGTGTGCATGTGTTTATGTCTGTGCCTGTGACCATTGTGCCTTTTCAACAATGACAGCTTTATTGGACTCAAGGGACAACAAATGAGAGACAGAAAAAAATTGGGCCGTGTGAGCTGAACTAGCAAAAAATGAGTGAATACCATTCGTTTTGTACGTCCTCCTTTTTATTCAGTTTTTTCTTACCGAAAAACAATCCTGCGTGAAAAATGGGCTCCTCTCCTTGATGACCTATTTGTCCACATGTGATCTTTTTATTAGTATACTGGATCTGACTGTGTTAATGGAAAAAGTTTCACACCAGTAGTTCTTTAGTTTATAAAGAAATACAAGTTATCCTGCATTTGGAGTGAAAGTTCAGGAATGTGTTATTCTTTGCCTGTTCCAGATACAAATTTGATTACTTTCAGATTTTTGCAGCATTCCTGGCTGCTAACTCTTTGCAGAAGACTCACTGAAATTTTGATTCATATAAGCATGGTGTGTATTTTCAAAATACAGAAAGTAAAGTTTTAAATATTATAGGAGTTCTGTCTTTCATCCCAAAGACAGAATTCCTAAACACAAACTTAATAACGTAGTATATGCAGTGTTGGGAAGATTACTTTTAAAATGTATTCCACTACAGATTACAGAATACATGCCCCAAAATGTATTTTGTAACGTATTCCGTTACGTTACTCAATGAGAGTAACGTATTCTGAATACTTTGGATTACTTAATATATTATCATGCTTTTTACAACTGCATGAATGTACTGTTGCTGTGTGATTTATTACTATTACTGAAAGCCCACGGCTGATTTGGTGCAACATTTGTTGGATATGGTTCATTTAAGACAGACAATTGCTTTAGTCTACCCAATGTCCTGTGTGGGCTTCCAACCCCTGTGGTCTGACATGTAGGAATGTGTTTGCATTTGTCTCCAAGATACAGTTCATCATAAAATGTTGCTGTAAGCACACCTGTATATGCTAGCAGCTTCAAATCTGCATAGCTGTTGCATTTTAAGTTGAATATGCTTGCAAATAACTTTTCTCCAAAACATAAAAAGGCAAGGCATTTTCAAGCTTTGACTTGATCCATAAAGTTAGCAAAGCATTTTTATATCTAGTATCCTAGCTTTTTTTTCAGTCTACCATTGCAACATCCCAGAAGGATCAACTTGTGTGAGCTCGCCTGCTGACTAAAAGCTCCAGCTCTGTAATATATAAGTGGTGATTAGAGCACATTGAGTCACTATGTACACATAACGTACAGGCTTGAAAATCAGATTAGAGGAATGCAGAGTGGCTAAAGTAGCTTGATTCATTATGAGAGAAAAAAAGCAACCCCGTTACAGATATAGGGGAATGGAGCTTTATTTGTAGGCCTTATTTTTACAAAATCCAACAGAAATGTGTCTTTTCAAAGATTCATCCATCATTCTTGTTATTACAGCTACAGCTGAAATAAAAACAAGCCTGTGTGTCTATCATACGTCCGGAGAACAATATGATGTTTAGCATTTAAAATTTGACTACTATTTCATCAAAACTATAAAAGAAGTAAATAAGACAACAAGTTACTGTTAATGACTTTATTGATCTTCTTGTTAAAATTCTCAACAACAAATTAAATACAACATTACATCCATGTTAATTAAGATTGCAGTATCATAACTTTGTATTAGCAGAAACATGTGGACTGTGCCGTGAATGTGCTATGCTCAGTAACTTTAAAAATTGTACCAGTTAAATGTCAAATACATGCAAATCCAGAATATGGAGGTCCTAGATGGCAAAAGTTAATCATATACAAGGTTAACATGCAATAAGTATTACAAACTAAAAAACAATATATATTAACCCTTTAAAGCCGGTTGGAGCGGACACGCTCCATTTTACATAACTATTTTTAAATCCCGGTAGCACTGCAACCACGTAAGCTAGCGCAATAATTTTTTTTGCATATGAAACCGGAGGAGTTGTACTTACATCTTATTCCATCAGCTTGCCCTAGGTCACAGTTTCCTTCTACATATAGCTTTGCAAAAACTGCATAAAAAGCACTTGTAGCAACAAAAACATAATATTACAGAAACACACTTTCCCAATCCGATCAGCTGTTTGTAACACTTCCTACATCCATCAGCGCAAACTATCGCATGTCCGTCATGACCTGCTCGAAACCGGAAGTGACGTCATTTTGCGGCAATTTAGTTTTTTACCACTAGTTCATGGCACTAGTTTATGGGCTCAAATTGGGGTTATAAATATTTTAAAATATTTATTATAAATATTTTACAAGTACGAATATTTTGTAAATCAGACAGCATAGTTGTGAACTGAGTTTTGTAACCTGTAAACCAAATATCTGAAAATTTTATGTTTGTGCATCTATGGAAGAGAATTTGTGTCAATGTAAAAGAGATTTGTATTTGTAAAAAAATATTTACACATTACAAATTTGTTTTTTAAGGTCTGGTTACAGATGCAAAGCAAAAAACTATATATTAAACTTAAAAATTTTGACCAAATTCTTCTTCCTTTCAGCTGATTGGTCAATGTCAGGTCAATCACAAATTTAACAATCCAATCAGAGACAGATGGGTTGGGCTGTCGAAGGGTTCTTTGCTGAGCTGCAGGTCCTGGAAGGGTAATATAGTTTGAAGCTGGAGGATTTCCATATGAATATTCATTATAAGCTAGGTCCCTTAACTTCCGGTAGCTGTTGAAAGGATAAAGCTGTGATATACCAGAAATCCCATTATTACTTTAGTATTACCTAACACAAAGTCAGGGCTGACCTGGGACCTGTGAGTCACACTGCGGAGCATAAAGGCCCTTTCACAACGGCATGCGCTGCACTCACCGCTAAATCAGAGCGAAGGATCCAAAATTTGTTGTGCTGGCCGATGCACTCTTTTGTTTTTTTGGGGCAGCTCTATGTATACTAGATGTGCCTCCTATAAGAAATATAACATTACTCGCGATATAGGTCTCGATTTTGTCTTTACCACTCCTGATCTCTCCGTCTCACTATTTCAGATGGTGGTCAATCCAAGCTCCATGGCAGAGAGAAGCTCTCACCTTCCAGCTCTTTGGAAATCACAGAGGTGAATCGGGTCAGTTGCTCTGAGCTGAAGTGGTTTTTCCAGTCTCCAGCAATGCCTGACAACAAAAACACGCATGCAAAGAGTCACATAAACATAAAAACACCTGATGAGAACAGAAATTGACCATGGAAGAAACTCTGAAAAGACATCTTTGATAACAAACGCGTCCAAGTTGGTGTGTTGTGTTCAATATCACTAATTTTTCAACCCAGTCAGATGTGTCATAATGGGATATGGAAACTCACCTTTTCTTAGGAAAGGAGATTTGTCATGGTCCAAGTACACCTTGGGGATCAGACTGAAGTTGGACATGTTGTTGTTCTGCATGCTCTTGAAAGAACAATGCTCTGCTACCTTCTGAATTAGTTCTTCAGTCAGATTGCAGCCCAGGAAATCAGAAATACGCCTGAGAGCCGCAGGCAGGTCCTGGAAGAAACACGCTCGTTATATAATGTGAAACAGTCAGTGTTTTTTTAAATTTGGCTTTTATTGAAAACTTATTCTAAAGTCATTTCATGAGCAAACTTTGAAAGGTCAGGGGTTTGAATAGTTTAAGTCACAATTTCAAGTTTTGGCAAGACATAAGTCTGGGTTTGTTTTGCTCAAAGTGACAAATGTGGAGGGTGCACTCCAATGTTCCCTCTAATTTTTCATGTGTCTGAGCGAACACACAAATTCCCTGCGCGGTCCCTTGGACCACTGTGAGCAACATTAGAAGTGTGCACTGTGGTCACGCCAACATCGAATCCATCCAAGTTACATGGTTTATTAAAATAATCAAATTAAAGCATTTATGTTAGACTACTTTTAATTAACTGCTTCAGCACACTGACAATGAAAATTTGAAAAAAAAAATTCTTGTTCATGACCTGTTTAGTATGTTAACACTATTGGAAGTGAAAATAACTCTAACTCCAATTTTGAAAACACAACTTTCTTTCTTTTTTAAATAAAGCTCTGACTTGAATTATGAGTATGAGTCTGTGGTCTGGGAGAGAGTCCTGTAATTCTCTGTTTGCAAAATACAGTATATAATGACCAATGTTGGGCAATTAATTATATAGTTACTTCTTCAAAAAAGTAACTGAGTTTTGCAAACAACGGAGTTTTTTGCAGCTGTTTACCTAAAAATGTAGCCAAGGCATTTTTTAAAATAAATATTTCAAACTATTTACAGAACAATCAGCTGTTCTGCATCAAATTTGATGCCACACAAATTATTTGTGTCACTCCAAAAAATTATTTCTGTCCACTATGAGATAAAGGAGAACAACAGCCTGATACCTGCCTGACAACAGGAGATGTATCTCTCCTGTAACACCTGTAACATTCAGTAGTCGCCTCATTGTTCTGACACACACAACAAAACTATTGACTACACTACACGCTAACTACACAAGATTTGTGCTAAACGTCGCAAATCACTCACCTGGCAAAACACTGCGGTCACTCCTAAAACTTCCCCCCTTCCTAAACAATAAATGCCATGTTGCCATATCATTTTTGATTGGTCAACATGGTATATTTTTCGACCAATAGGAAAGGGTGGGGGTTTTTTTGGTTTTGTTTTTGCTCACAGGCTTTCGAGCGTTTTCCTTATAAAACACAGTTTTTACCGTTTCTTCCCGCAGTAAATATAAACAACGATAGTATTCAGGAAGAAAACCAAACATTGCATATCTTTTTATCATAACTCTGGTTTTAGGTGGCCTATCAACACAATTTAAAAACTGGTATAAAGTCCACACTTTTTCCGTCAATTGTTTCGTCTGTCCTGCTCACATCTCCAATGGTTGTACACGTTGTCATTAATGTGGCTTCACTCCACATAAGCCACGCCGCTTTGCTAGCTAAAACAGCGGTGTCGGCACATAAGGACGCTGTCATAGCCTGTCAACCACATTGATTAGCTGCGAATGTAAATGGCATTATTGGCTGGACTATGGAATATGGTGGCATCGTTCTAATCCCATACAGGAGCAGCCAGTCACTCACTGACTAACACTGCAAAACAGAATTGTTAAAGTTTTAATTTTAATTTCAATTCAGGTTAGATTTTTTTTTGGGCACAACACAGATTTTCTGTGCGCAGAGACCGTGCCAGCAGTGCGCAATTGTGTATGTGCGCAGCTTAGAGGGAACATTGGTGCACTCGGGCCTTTAGGTGGAGCATCAAAATATGTGGGAAATTGTGTCTCAAAACTAGGGATGGGAATTTAAACATGTAAAATAATTTATTAATATAATTTAAATAAAAAATAACGCATTTAATCACACTTTGCATTTCAAGCAAAGGGGAACTTTTGTCAATGCACAATTTCCTGGAATACCAACTACACTAATGCACACATCAGATGTACAAAAAGGGAGAAGAAGAACGCGCATTGTTAGGACTGATCGGAGGCAAATTTCATTTCAAAAGACTACCTGACAGAAGCCTTGATAAAAGCATGGTTTTGTGCAAGCTGTCCAAAAAGGAGTTTCCGTACCACCGAAGCACCTCAACCTTACGATACCATCCAAATTCAAAACATGTTGCAGGAGGCACAGAACCTAGCACTGGCAGTGACAATAAAACATATGAACAGTCCAAATTTGATGAAATGACTGGCCCCAGAACCAAAATTAGTAAGCCAATATTGGACAAACTTACCAACTCTCGCATAAAAGGATTGCTCTGGACTGTAGACTACTATCAGTGGTAGAAGATAGGGGGTTAGAAAATGTGCTACAGTTAGCATCAGGTGATCCAACTTTCAACTGCTGTGCCGAAAGACTATTTCAAGTAAAATTGAACAGCCTTATGATATTGAAAGGGAAGCAAAATGAGATGCATTACAGACACCCCTGCTAATATGGAGGAACTACACCAGGAGCAAACAAGACTGGGGCAACAGAAAGAGCCACTCACACAGGATGTTACTACACGGTCAAATGATGGTGTAAACCATGATGTTGAAGAGCAGCAGTAAGGTGACTCCTGTGCGGATGGCGAATTCAGTCGACTGCTTGTTTCGGATGCGAATTTGGCTCAATGATCCATTCTAATTTTCCTGTAGGAGCTTAATTACTTTCGGTGGGATGTGCTCAGTCTCCAGTGTCATCCAAAGTGTTGCCCAATCGATGCAGTCGAATGTAGGCTGAAAGTCAATAAAGATGATGGCCGTCCGTTTCCCACATAAAATTTGCTCCTCACCTGGCAAATACTGAACATCTGGTCACAGGACCCGCGGTGAGATCTGAAGCCGGCTTGCTCTTTGCGGTTCGTCTGTTCGCGATGTTTCTGCAGGCATGATTGAATTACTTTCATGAAGACTTTTCCACTGATCAAGAGCAGACTGATGCCGCATTCGTTTTGGCATTCTCGGTTGTTGCCTTTCTTGAAGATTGGGATAATGATGGCCTTCTCCCATGTTCTTGGAATCGTCTCTGTGCGCCACATTTTTTTGCGGAAGAAGGTGCACTTGTTGGAGAAGAACATCACCGCCAGCCTTGATCGATTCCGCTGTAATTGCATCCACACCAAGCGCTTTTCCATTTTTCAAAGTCCCGATGGCTGTCTTCACCTTTGCCAGGGTTGACTCATCATCGGACCATCGGGGTCTCTGGTGCTTCGATGGGTGGCGGCTCTGCTGGTGGTCCTTGTGGCTCCGTCCAGCACTGTAACCGCTCAGTTGATGATCATACAAAGGTGCCATCAGCCTTTCAGATGTTGTCATTTGTTGATTTGGTTTTTCTACTCAGGCATCAGAGCATTCGATAAATGGTGTGGCACTCATGCTTTGAGGCCACTTCCTCCAAGTCAGCCACTACTTGGTTCCAGTAAGCCTCGCGTTCTTCCTTCAATCGGCGTCAGACGTCCTTGTTGAGCTGACGATATCGTTTAAAGTCGACCAGCTTCACATATTTCGCTTCATCTACCATATCGAGACATTCGTCGGATATCTACGGCTGTGTTCGGCAGCGTGTGGGATGGCACAGGTCTTTGGCGCTTTCCATGATGACGTCCAAAACTTGTTGCTCTTTGACGTTGACATCTTCGGATGGCACCAATGCAGTAAAATGGCTGGATAATGCTATTTGAAATTCTGCCTTGTAAGCGGGATCTGACAGGCATTTCCAGTTGAGCTTTGCCAATGGGTGCGATTTGCATTTGGCTCTTTGTAGTAGAAGATTTATCACGGAAACAGGAGTCAATCAGGATGTAATCCAACATCGCTGAGTCATCACCTGTTGAATTTTCCATGTGAGTTGATGTTTCTTTGGATGTTAAAATTGGGTGTTTTTCCGATGATGAAGTTGTTGGTGTTGGCGAAGGACAAGAGGCGCAAACCGTTGTTGTTCATTACACCATGTCCAAAATGACCCGACCCCGTGCTCTCCCACCCAGTCCGATTGAATCCAACGTGTGTTGTAGTTGGTTATAGAAATTGTTCTTGGCCGGGTCTGGATTTGTCTCGGTTGGTGTGTAGATGGTAATGAGGTGGGTTTTGATGCTACCGTTGATGGTGAGCTCTAAAAGGCGATTGGAGATTGGCTGGAATGAGACAACACTCTTGACTGTGCGACGGGCAACCATGAAACCAACTCCTGCTTTTCGTTTTTCTCCACCCGAGTAGTAGAGTGCCATCTGGTCATCGTTGAGTGATGGTTTGACGACCGTCTGCCCTGATCCTGTGAGTCATAATTTGGATAAAGCTCTGATGTCGATTTTGCAGTTCAGTAGTTCTGGCAATGATTTCAAATTTGTATTTCCACTTTCGGTGTGATGATGTTTCGGTTCCTTCGGCCAGTAGCCCACTTCTCACCAGCATCCTTGTTCCCCAATACTGGCGCATTGGCTGCCCCGGATGCGGTAGCATTAAACAAAGAATTTAGGACATTATTTTCTTGAACTGTCTACTACAGGTTTGTGACTGAGCTTCTTGGAGGTGAGCCATATGTCTTATATTCCGTGGTTTTACCTGCTTTCTGCCACCTGCGTCACACCATGGAGGTCTCCAATGATAACTCAAACTACATGGTGAAATTTAAGACTGCCTTCACAAAGGACCTATCCCAGCGTGTAGCTACACTCAATCATCAGTGGCTCAAGATAGCTACTGTGCTTGACCCACGCTTTAAGGATTTAAAGCATCTTGCAAGCGGAGAGCGAGAAGAGTTTTGGACCAGCCTTGAAGCCCTGCTGCAGGAATAGCGTAAAGATGCCACCACAAAGGAGGCAGCAAAGACAATGGGCCTCCTCCTCTCTTCTTTGTCTTCAGACTCTGATTGAGATGAGGATGCCCTGTGCAACAGGGCTCTGAGTTTGTACAGAGCAGAATCCATCATCAGCGAGACAGACTCCCCGCTGCAGTGGTGGTCCAGTCGAGCAGAGACCCACCCACAGCTGTCTGGCCTGGCCTGGAAGCGATGATGATGATGGT